TCTGGGCTGGCCCTGTGACTCACTTTTCACCACAGAATGTCGCAGAAGTGATGCTATGTGACTGTCCACGGTAGGTCATTAAAACCTGGACAGCTTTAGCGTGGGCCTGTGAACCCTTGCTCTAAGGCAAACTAGCTTCTCTGTAAGAATCCAAACACCCTGAGGTGCCATGTTGTTAGAAAGCCCAAGCTAGCCAGACAGAGAAGTGTAAGAGAAAAAGAAACTCTCTTCTCCCTCTACCCATCGTAGGTTCCCTGTCAATTTGACTGACAATAGACAGACTAACAAGAGAAAAATAGATAAAAGTTTATTAACATAAATATGTACACCCAGCTGGATGTTGTCAGTTGAATTTCATGGGAGCACTCAGAGATGAGTAACTAAAGGAGCTAGTTAGAACTCAGGTTTATATAGCATCTTAAAAGAACTATAAAATTTTAGAGAAGTGACCAAAGGTAAAGGATTTTGAGTTTCTAGGGCAGCAAATTGTGGGAAGGCAAATATATGGGGGCACTAAGATAAGGGCTACTTAGTAAAGTTAATTATGTAGATTCCTTTAGTGCCATCTTTGGGCTGATAAGCCTCTTGAGTGTTCTCCAACGGTTTACTTTTTGTTTTCCTGGTAGAGAAGGGAGCGGGAACAACTTTACAAATGTATGTCCCACTTTCACACATATAGTGGGAGGCCAGAGAGAGCTTTTCTTGTCTATACAGGGTGGGGCAAAAGTAGGTTTAAACAGTTGTGAGTATGCAAAACACAGAGTTTATCCATGTATTATTATTTATTATTGTATTATTTTCCATGCAAATGACTGTAAACCTACTTTTGCCCCACCCTGTATTGGCTTTTTCTCAAATGCCTACAGCTGAAAATTAGCCTTATACCAAAGTGGCATATTTTGGGGTAGCATATTCTACTACCCTTCAGAGGCCATGTGGAGGGGCGGGGAGAGAGAGTGAAAGAAGGAGAGAGATGGAGAGAGAACCTATTTCTTGCAGTCATTCCAGATGAGCCATCAGCTATGTAAGTGAAAAAAAATATCTTGGACATACAGTTCAGACTAGTTGCTGTCTGACTGCAGCCTCAAAAGAGACCCCAAGCAGGAACCACCCAGCTGAGCCCAGTCAACCACAGAACCACACAGAACTATGAGAGGTAATATATTGTTGTTTTAAGTCACTAAGTTTTGGAGTGGCCTGTTATGCAGCAATTGGTAACTAGAATATAGAGTAATTTTTTTCCCCATTTTCATGGAAAGCTTGTTCAGTTTATTAGTGTAGGATTTATAAGACAATTAGGACAAAGTCACTGATGTATATCAGGACCTATTTTATTTTAATTTGCTCTCTCTTGCCAAAAACACATTGTTCTAGAAAGCACACTTCAAGGGGGCACTGAGAAGAAAATGACTGGTGAATTAATACTAGCAGAAAGAAGGAAAAGTTTTTCTACTTTCAGGCTACATTTTTGTTGCTCTCATAAATTACTGCTCTGGACAGTTGCATAAGTTATGGTTTTTCTAAGAACAGATTTATTATTTTTTAAAATGTATTATTCTCTTATGTTTTGATTTATGGCCAGTGAGAACTACTGTAATGATTATCTTTTTTGTTAAAGTCAGGTTTGTTGAGATATCATTTATATAGAGTAAAATGTATACTTTTTAGGTGTACAGGTCTGTGAGTTTTGATAAGGCCATATGCCCTCCAGAGTCAAGATATAGAGTATTTCAATAACCACCAAAAGTTTCCTCATACTCCATACTCAGCCACCTCTTTCCATCCCCAACCCCTGCTAACCACTGATCTGATTTCTGTTCCTGTAGCTTTGTCTTCTTTACATTGTCATATATGTGGAATCACACAGTTTCTTGTGTCTGGCTTCATTTCACTTAACATAATGCCTTTGAGACTCATCCAAAGTAATAATCTGTTCCTGCACCAACTATTTCACTTTTTATGTGTATTCTAAGGGTATGCAGAGCTATGAATAGCTAAATAAGTCATAGGGTCATTGTAGTGTTTCAGAAAGTTTTGTCTGAGGACCACCTACATTGCAATCACCTTGGGTGCTTGTTGGACTCTCAGACTCAGACCTATTAAGTCAGTGCCTGAGCTACTCAGTAACGTGTGTTAGCAACCATCCCCATGTAACTTTTATGCATGACTAAAAGTAGAAACCCTAAGGCATTCCAGGGTGGACAAGGATATCAGAGTTAGTGGTTCTGAGTTTGAATCTAGCACTGCAATTTACTAGCTGTATGAACTTGGGCAAATTTCTTAAACTATCTGCCCCTAGTTTTTCTTTTGTATTTGGAAATTATTTATTTACTTACCAAATATTTTTGAGCATCTATTATATGACAAGGCACAGTTCTAGGAACCAGGATCACAGCAGCGAATAAGACAAAATCCAATCCTTCATGGAACGCAGTGCAAGATAAATATAAATATATGAGGAAATATATGAGAAAGCACATACATATATGAGAAAATTTCAAATAGTGATACCCTGTAGAAAAATGAAACAAAGTTTTGACATAGAGGGCACCTTATTTAGGATACAATGTCGGCTATAAGTTGGGAAGAACATCCCTGAGTGTATTTTAGCACTGTCACAAAGGTTCTGTCAGGACTAGTGGATATTAGCAAGGTCTGCTCAAGGTAAGCTGTGTTTTCAGCATCGCAAAAAATTTACTACCAATCTTGATTCTTATTTGAAACTGCAGAGAAATGTTGATGTCAACATTCAACAGCTAGTATGGCATGTAAGCTAGAGGTTCCCATGTGACCCACTGGCCGCATTTCTGGCAGAGTTTATGCTCGTGTGTTGCAGAGTTGAGAAGCCTTCATGGCTTCTGGGCCCCTGTTCACTGCCTTCCTGAGGGACCGAGTAACAACAAGTCTTTTCTCTTGCATCTTTTTATCTCTAAAGGCAGTTCTGAAAAGCAAAACATATCTCTCATATTTTGACTCTACCTCAAGAATAGAGACTGAAAAGAAATACTAATTTATCGGGGAGCATGTCCTATCGGTAATGTTTAAACCTCCTTGGTGGCCATGGATCATTTTGAGACTTTTTGTTTTGTTTTTTGGTTGGTTTGGTTTTTGTTCATCCTCAGCCGAGGATATTTTTTCCTCCTATTTCCAAAGAGGGTGGGAGGGAGG